GTGCACACAGGCCAGCTGTTAACTATTACTAATAATTGCATGCTTACCAAGGTAATAAGTGATCACACTGTGGTACGCCAACAGAACCATGGCACACATGGGTGATCTGAGATTCTGATCACGGCAGCCCTGGTCCAAATGATCCAGACCCACAAACTGGTCAAATAATGAAAGGACATAATAAATAATAGCAGTAAAGCACAGCAAAGTTGGGCTGTTGTCATCCACTCTGCTAGAGTGGCTGTTATACCTGACCACCTGTGAAATGAATTGTTGCAGATGCCTTCACAGAACTAATAACCTCTTGCCTCTTTTACCCAAGAAACTCCTCCCTTTAACACCTGAAACATCTAAGAAGTAATGTAACTGAGATCATACATTATGTGCCTACTATATTTTATTAGTTTACACTGTTTACAATACCTTGTCTCNAAAACAAGTAAAAAGAAATAATCTATTTTTGCTAGTTTAATTTGTTCGTATGTTTGGCCTTTCCTTTGCTTAAAGATGTGAATCATTGTTTCACTTTTATTTTTGAAATTCACTACTTAAACTTGATGAATTGCCATTTTATCTCGCTTTTACTTCCGGTTTTATCATTTAAACCGCTCATTTGTAACACGGTTGACTTTTTTATACGACATAAATATCCGGAAAAACATAGAACAAACAATTTTGTCTTCATTTTGACCTTAACGGTCTTAACATGCTAAATTTAGTGTACTTTCGGTTAGGTGATATTTACTTCCGGTCAAAATGGCGGCCATTTTAGTAATAACTCCAAAAACCGGTTTAAGAGGAAAAATTTGCAGTGGCACCATATCACATATTAATAGCCCAATTAGCTTATATAATAAACAATTTCATCGTCATTTTGGCTTAAAAAAATGCTTCATTTTGTGTACTTTAGATTAGATGATATTTACTTCCGGTCAAAATGGCGGCCAGTTTAATTTTCACTCTAAAAACCAGTTTTACAGGAAAAATTTGCGATGGCACCATATCACATATTAATAGTCATAATTAGTTCTGTCATTCCTGAAAATTTGGTGCTTTTAACAAAAAGTGAACAATCCGGCCCCAAATCTGCACATATCCGCCCCACTATAATAACCTCTTGCCTCTTTTACCCAAGAAACTCCTCCCTTTAACACCTGAAACATCTAAGAAGTAATGTAACTGAGATCACACATTATGTGCCTACTATATTTTATTAGTTTACACTGTTTACAATACCTTGTCTCCAGAGAAACCAACCCACTCCAGCAGTTTGATAATCTTGGCTGGAAGTAATGACAACATCTAAAAAGACACAAAGTAAGATCAAGAGTTACTTAATAGTTTTCAAGAGTTCTAATATCATGGCACATGGATATCAAAATGATGGCACTGATTGATTGATTAATGGATTCAAGCCTCACCAAATTGAACCCTCCTATACCAAGGTGAACTCCTCCCTCAAAATCCTTTCTCTGAGGTGACTGTATTAAGGAGGATGGCTGATGTTTTACCATATCAAGGCAGGTCCTACATAGATCAAGTTTTGACATAGAGTGAAGTGTCAGTTGGTGGAGCAAGAAAATTTCTTAAATATGCTAACTTTCCACCACATATGTACTCACTGGCAGTAACATGGCATTCTTCCAGGGTAGTGAATATGATATTTTACTATATAAACACCAATGAAATGCCAGGTGAGCTTTTGTGCAAAAACATGATATCCTCACATGTGAAAATAACATGTGATCTTCACACATGAAAAGATCCCCATTGCTATGGCTACATGATAAATAATTGCACCTTTCACAGGAAAAAACTATTAAAGTGAAATGGTTTGGTATTTCATTGATGTTTACATAATAAATAGAACATTACATGGCCGCTTGGAGATACAAAATTTCTCTTCTCGCATTGGAAAAATAAGTTAATACTCGAAGAGAAATTTTGTGGCTCGGCGTGGCCATGTAATATCCTCTATATAATTACCAACAAAAACATTTAAGTCTGCAATATGCACAAAAATATAATTGCATTTAAAACAGAGTAAGGGTATCTGACCTGAGCTTATGACTTACTTATAAGACTGATATGCACTTCTGATTTTGAGAGCTCCTCTGATGAAACTGACCAGATTTTCATCCTAAGAAACAGTATTCCATAATTTAGCATCACATGCAACAAAATATTGAATTCTACAATCAATAATAATGTCTGTTAGTAATGTCTGTTAGTATTAGTGAAGAAAAACACTTTAACTGTACCTGAATAAAAGTAAGCATTGCCCTCATGAACAAACACTCTGCATAACAAAGCTCTGCATGACGTTCCACTGAAATTACAGAATTCAGGGGAAAATATTAAGCCAAATGTTCCTTAAGTTTACGACAATGGAAAAGGCTAATGGGATATGAGTATAAAATTTAAAAATTATAAAACATTAAAATTTAATGAAATAAACTAATAAAATACATGTACCTTCTGTCAAGTTGTCATAAGAGGGATTCCAAATCCAGCTTGTTAGTGACTCTGACCATGTTTGTCTTCTTTTATGCCTAAAAAGATTTATTTTTAAAGAAGTATGAGTATAATGGTTACATGTATAATGATCCACTAGAAACACTCTTTTAGAAAATTCATTTTGCTATATAATGATTAAATACATGAGACTGAATACTTCCTTTTCCACAAATGATTGGTTCCAGCTAAAACCACAGGCAGCCCACACTTAGTACATAAAAAATTACCTTGTATTTTGATAATTTTTCATAATGAAAGATGATAAACTTTGTATAGGGTATTCAGTAAGTGCTAAAACTAAAGCCAATGTTAATTTTAAAATATACCTAATTAACTCAAATCAGTTAGAAGTTCATACCTTTCACAAACATCCAGAGCAATCTTGTTGCTTTCACTTGCTTGCTGAATTGCTTGCTACAAATACATGATCAAAATTTTAGGCAATAATATTAACTGCAATGATTTAAATTTAGAAAGGTTATGAGCACTGTGGTACGTAGACACAATTCAACTCAAATTAATATAATCATGTATTTGGGCGTTATTTTACCAAGTATCATTACACACTTCTCCTCCTGAATGACTATTCTCTTTCTTAGACTTGGTGATAATAATGCAAATATTTACATGTGGCACACAATAAGCCTAATCTTTACACACCGGTTCAAATGTCATCATGGCTTGTAGGTACATGATTGTACTGTATCCAAGAGCATGGTACATGCTTTCATTGACCCTGAAATTAAAAAGCCAATCCAAGAAGGATTTTAATTTGTTTACCCACAAAAACTGCCAAATTATCAGGCCATTATACACTCAAAACTATTTTAAGATATTTGGAGAAGAAAATGAAAACACAAGGCAAGTTTAAAAAGTATGACTGCATTACCAAGGCTCAAGTTTTGCTTGTGCTTGAAGGAACTTATTTGACAGGCAGAGATTGACAGCAATATTTGTCATCCTGATAGCATCTGCTAGGACCTTTTCATCCACTGCCCCAGAACTGCAAGAAATTTTAGGAGAAAGAAAATAATCAAACTAAGCCACACTTAATAAGAGAATGGGACCCTGTGTACTGGGTACTATCGAAGTGTAATATTATATACAGTGAAATTCAACTGCGACAGGGTAAATACTATGCATGGTACCTGATTCCACACATAAAATAATGACAGCTCCCTTTTCAAATAGTTTTCTTGGCAAGGGTAATAAAAAAACCACAATTTTTAACACGCCTGATATGTTATAGTGAACAAAGCAATACCATTGTAAACAAATTAATGTTTACTGAATTCCATAAGTGGTAAGACACTTGAAATTTTTGTTTGCCTCTTTTTATCTTGAATTGTAATGTGAAAACTAATGTTAATGTTTTTGATCTCTCAGTCTGAGAAGGTGATTTAAGGATTACAGAGAAAGGAATGGTAAAAAACGATGCTGTTCACTCTGTGACATATAAAGTTTAACAGTTAAAAGGGATTTATAAAGAAAAAATACTGAAATAATCGGAATGTTTCAGTACACTTCCTTGTTTTGGAGAAGTGTTCTGCTCCCATTAGCTCAAATCTATATAATGTTCTATTTATTATTGATCTTTATAAAATAACTAAGATAGTACGCACGCCCTGATTGGTTAAAAACCTACGGTTTATTGTGCCGGTAAACTCATAGAAATCTGAAACACACTTTAAAGTTATTTTATCAAAGCAATAGACCACACTTTCTATGGGTTTACCGGCGTGATGGGGATGTTGGAAGAACACTCGAAATGCTTGTAAATCACTCTCCTTCGGCTCGTGATTTACAAACTTTTCTCGTGTTCTCCCAACATCCCTATCACGCCGGTAAACCCATAGAAAGTGTGGTCTACTGCTTAAAATAATTGCGCAGCTTGAGAGTAGCAAACATACATCAACCAACAATAGAAATTATTAACCATGACAGTTGTACTCATGCATATATTTGCCCGTCCATTTTGTGGATAGAAGGTTAGAAGAGTGGACTTGCACCGGGGGAATAAAAATAACTCTTTACATACTTTCCTTGGCCGCATGAGTGTTTCAGTTTTAACCACGCAATATAAAAATATGTAGCAAGGTATGTAGCCTACAGAAATTTCCTAAAACTGAAACTGCGCTCCTTCACAAATTCGATCAACTAACACCTCCTTCGACTGTAACAGACAGACATTAAATCCAACCAACCTGTGTTTACTACCAACGCTCGCATTACTTCCTGCCATTTTTGGTGTTAAATATCCTCTCCTTAACTACATAACGTGTGTCATGGAGTGGAAAATGTCGATAGAAACAGCTCAAAACAAAGCGGAAATCCACCTCACACCTGTCGACGACGAAAGACTCTTGTTTACAAGGCGGCTATCGCGCTCCAGTTCTTTACCGTGAGACTTACTTACCCCTCCCTACTGGAAACTTTGGTTGGAGGAGCGCGGAGCGGTCAGCAGACGTCATGTCATCTGTGTCACAACAGAAAAGAGCCGCTCACAAAGAGACAAAAGTGAGAAAGGTTTTTGCGGTTTATTTAGAAGTAAATTCGCTGTTTCCTCTAAAGTGATGTATCGAAATGAAAAGCAGGGAATATTACTCTCAACGTTGTTGAAGTGTGTTTGAGGATTAATATGTTCTGAGTCTAAAAACGATCCAGTCTTTGTGTTAAACCGAAACGTTGGAGCAACAAACATGGCTTCACAAGAGGGCAGTAAAATCATGGTATTTCGTCCGACTCTCGAAGAGTTTGCAAACTTTTCTATTTATATTCGAAAAATGGAAGAAATGGGAGCTCATCGGGCCGGTGTAGCCAAGGTTAGTTCAGAAAAAATTGGTCAGATTTGTTTTGTTTTGTGTTTATATGCAGTGTTTTCGCACCGCACGTGGTGTAAATTTCACATCAGGGACAGTTTATCGGTATTTAAGAATACTTTCCTTTCCAGGTCATACCTCCAAAAGAATGGATTCCACGAAGGAGCTATGAAGACGTAGATATCACAATTCCTGCGCCTATACTTCAAGTTGTTACTGGAACACAAGGTAAGCGGACAGAGTTTAGATTAAATGGCAAAAGACAACGTTTAGAAAGACCTCGAAAGTTACAAGTTGTGAAAATCAACCTTCAGCAGCATCAGTATAACTAAGCTTATATACGGGAAAGTGCTTGGTTCAAAGTGGAAAAAAGTAGGAATGTTTCGTGACCTTTCATTAGCTGATATTAAGTGAAAATTAAGCTGAACTATATTTTTTGACACGCAAATTAGAACATTTCCTAATTTGCTATGAGACCAAGCTACAAGTGTACACTGCTTGCATGTAGAGCTAGAAACGCGAAGGACTATTCCGAGATCAAACGTTGTAATGAGGGTGACTTTAAAAGTTAGATTTAAAGGCACTTAGGTTGCAGCTGTTAAACTAAGAGTATCCAAATTGCTCATTGGAGCGTGTTGAAAACAATAACAAATTCAAAAGCACTTTTCATCACGTTATAAGCTAAACATAAGCCTATGCATTAAATTAAGGTAAAGAACGAGCTTTGTGGCTTCGTTGTTATTGTTTGCAATTATTTGATGCAAGTTTTCAAGTCCAGACACGTACGAGCTCGCCTTAAAACAAAAATATTGTATTTTAAAACACAAGCTCTATTCATCGTACTACCATCTCGTGGGTGTATTTCCGTTTAATCTCACCTTGTATCTCATTTAATTACCAAGTCATCGGAAATTATAAAACCTTAAGTCCCTTTCCCATGAAAAATCATCCTTCTTATTGGGAAAGTAATAACCATTTCTGCCAATTCTTTGGCCACGCATCACAATTGGTGTTCAACAACCGATTTCAGTGGGATTTTCAAAGTCACTAGTAAATTATTGTTCATTTTAATCACTAGTGAGGGAAATTTGGGCAGGTGGGTTACCCACACCTTTTCCGGGTTTTAGTAGTCAAAGGTGTCACTGTTCTGAGTTTATAGAACAGCTAGTTTTTTGTCCATGCGAATAATAAAATCCTGTAAATACAACATCCTTGAGTGATGAGAATTGCTAGATTTGAAACTCTGGTCAAGAAGCAAAGTTAAAGCCAGTCTGCGACTTCTCTTCACTTTCTAAGATCTGATTTAATTAAACATTTTTTGTCTATTTAGGGCATAGGAATGACATAAGCTTTTATTGATAAACTACGCATAATAGAGAAAAAGAAGTGGTGATATCACAGAATGGTTGGCAATGTTCACTCTCTAAAAATCAGCCTGTTGGTGTAAATTGGTGGGGAGATATTAGCAATATTGTTCTCCAGTGACTCCATATATATATCCTTCTAAAATTAGCCTGGACCGTAAATGTTACGTTTGTCCATCCTTTTTGTTGTTTGAAGAGTTAGTATAAGAACCAACCCCAGACCCAGATCTAGGATAAATACTGACTGATTTCCTAAACAAGCACCAAAGGTGCAAGCTTCTAGGTGATCCGGGGGTATGCTCCACCAAGAAATTATTTGGATTTTAACTCCCCAAAGTCCCCTTTCCTTGGTATCTGAGTCATTCAGACAGGATATTTACCCCTTCCATTCTCCTCGGATGAATCCTTGCAAATCAGTACATTATTAATTTTCATCATGGTTAATTTCCATGTTGTATTGGTTATGGAGCAGGATTTTAATGTGGAAAGTTTTTTTTTTTAATTTAAATATATATATTCATTATGAAAAATCTGATCAATTTCTGTAAAATGGTGGAAACCAACAAGAAACCGAGCCTGAACCCACAAGAAACTTATTGACTACCTTTTTCACCCTCTTCCAGGACTGCCTCACAACTAAGCTTAGCTTATTTTGTGACTATTCTCATTTTTGTGTGTGTGTGTTGTGTTGTAGGACTTTACCAGTTGTTTAACGTCCAAAAGAAAGAAATGTCCTTAAGTGATTTCAAGGAACTTGCCAACAGTGAGAGGTACAAACTAAATTGATTTTAAAACATCATATGGTAAATGTTGCTTTGTATTTCTGTGGCTGCTATTTGTACTGTAATGAGAACGGATAATAGAAACAAAAAAAACATCATAATGCTAAAAAAATTGCAATACTTAGTTTTATGGTTGAAATCACCAAGTTACTTCACATGAGCCAAGTTGAAATCAAATTTAGGCCTTATCCCTAAGACCCCTAATTGAACTTGTAGTTAACTCTTATGTTGTTTTATTCCTGTTTTAGTCACAAACCACCTACGAATGATCCTGATGAGATTGAACGGAAGTATTGGAAAAATGTAACATTTAACAATCCCATTTATGCTGCGGATATACCAGGAACCATTTTTGACAAGAATGTTCAAGAGTGGAACATAGGAAACTTAGGAACAATTCTTGACTTGATAAAACAAGAATATGGTGTACATATAGAAGGCGTGAATACTCCTTACCTATACTTTGGTATGTGGAAAGCATCATTTGCCTGGCACACTGAAGATATGGATCTCTACAGTATTAACTATTTACACTTTGGAGCCCCTAAAACATGGTAAGAAGTTATATTAACTTAATTAGATTGAACTGCTTGCAAATTAGGAGGTGTATCAGCCTGAGAATACTTCAGCATTTCTTGGTGGCAAAACTTGAATAACAACAGAGAAAACTATGAGTGTGTGGTTTGACTGCTAACAACTTTGGAACCGCCTAGGATAGAAATTGCACTAAGTAGCTTTTCATTGAAACACTAATTACTGGCGTGCAAAAATGAGCCACGTATCGACCAAAACACTTCTTGTCATGTAAACTTTAAGCAGTACAGTTCTTACAAGGCAAGTCTATCAGACATGTATTGTTCAGACTTAAACGTTTTAAGTATCTGACTCCAAAGAACAATGGTTGAAACCAACTGAAAGATCTGACAACAGTACGGTCAAACATCATTAACAAAGACACTGAGGGGTCCTAGAAAGTGTCCATGTTAACAGGTTTTCCAGAGAACGTGTAAACAGGCTTTTTTTCCCCAGGGAAAAAGCAAACTGTCCATAGTAATGTTATGAGGTGTTCATAAAGCAGGGTTGGACTGTATACACACTGGAACCTCTGTTTAGACAAATGCATTACCAACTAGCCATTAGCCAACTTTTGCTAGATTAAAGGTTATCTGGATCATCCAATGGAATTAGGATTACTGCACTTTTAAGTCCAATATCCTTAGAGCCTTCACATGAAGGCTGAGGGTTACAAGTGAAAAGTAATGAATAATACATTCAAATCCAACTGATAATTACATGTAAATTATTGTTATCTGACTTAAGGTATGCCATACCTCCTGAACATGGACAGCGCCTGGAAAGACTAGCTGCTGGTAGGTGTTCATTAACTCATCAGCATTGAAATGCTCAGATTGCACTTCCAATGAGTGATCATTTGCTTTTTCTTAATGTATCCACGCACCTTCCTCCTTAAGCAAAAGGTACAAGTAAAAATAGTATATAACAAACCAGAACTAAGTTGAAAGGGGATAAGTTACAACATTTTAAACAGACCCCAGAACTCAAACCTTGTTCACCTCATTTAAAACAAACTTACCAGACAATTATGCCTATTGTTTTCCCTGCACGTTAATACACCCAACTGTGAGTTGATACAGTCCGAGTTTGGTACCTGCCCTATTTATTTCTTATTTAATTTTCTCACCCAACATCTAGTTTCTACATGTATTTACTATCATGAAAAAACCTTTTTAGTGACCTTTGAGTATATTTCTTGCAGGCTTTTTTCCAGGAAGTTTCCAAAGCTGTTCTCAATTTCTTCGTCATAAAATGACCATTATCTCTCCACAAGTACTGCGGAAGTTTTCAATTCCTTATGACAAGGTATTATACAGTCATTATCTATAATAACTGTAAGGGATTTACCACGTTTAGACAGCTGCCAGAACCAGGCAACCAATTTCATTTGGGGCTTATGCACAATAATGACATTAAAGGCAAATTCATTTTATGAGTTTTCATTGTGTAATAATTTAGTTCTAGTTTAGTGAACAGATCAAAAAGCCCTGGCAAGGGTTTGGTGGTAAATAATCCACTTTTCTAAACTGTAAGCCTAAATTCACACCATTGCTTATTTTTGACATGGCTGTTTTCATTTGCAGATCACTCAAGAAGCAGGCCAGTTCATCATAACATTTCCATATGGGTACCACTGTGGTTTCAATAATGGCTTTAATTGTGCTGAGTCAACAAATTTTGCATCGGAAAGATGGATTGATTATGGGAAGAGAGCACAAGTGGTATGTGTGGACTCTGTAACAATAAACCATACAAATTGATTGTTTCAGTTTAATGCAAAATCAGGTGCTAACACAGATCTATTAAAAGTTGTCAGTTTTACAGCATGTACTGTTAAGAATTTTAAACCCAGTCAACAGTGGGGGCAGTTTAATGGGAAACCACATGGTTTGGAGGGAACTTCAAAACAAAGCCAAAAATAATGTTGACAAATCAGCTTGTAAATAGCATGGTTTTGAGAAGATTACAAGATTACACATAGCACCGCCAGCCTTAGTGTGTTATTTATCCATGATTTATTCTTTCTTTTTTGGACAGTGTACATGTAAAAAAGATACTGTCAAGATCTGTATGGATGTATTTGTGAAGACTTATCAGGTAAAATTAGAAGTGATTAAATAGTTAATCTTTGCATTATTTTATTTACTGCCAATAAGCCAACCATCTTTCACCTGATTTTCACTTTTGGTGTTACAAATGTGTGGTCCATATATGCGCAGGTTAGTTGTGTACTCTGGTATGTCCTTAATGTGGCACTTTTTCTGCCAAGTTACAGGTTAGATTAGTAATGTAATATTGTACATGTGAAGCAACTTATAAAAGTTTGGGATCATTATACCTTTCTGGGAAACTGCCCACTTACCCCTCCCCAGCAGTTTCCCAGAAATGTACAATGATCCAAAGTTGAATTCTCCCTTGCAAACTATAAGAATCAAGGAATATTTGCTTAGTTATGTTGGAGTACACTCAAATATTGGTATTGAGTGTGAAGGCTTTTTTTGCAGCCAGATCAGTGGGAAGAGTACATGAAAAGCAAGCAAAAAGACAACACTGATAGTGATGATGATGATGATGAGGAACAGCAGATTGAAGCCAGTGAGAAAAGGAAGGAAATGACAGATAAAAGCAGGAGGAAAACAAAATCTAAGATCATAGATCTTGATGATGATATGCCACTCTCAAAACTGAAAGAAGCACTTCTTGCTGAAAAGTAAGAAGCCATTGAATGTATTGATTGATGTCAATGATGCGCAAGTGGTTGTGAAGTTTGTATTGATACTTTTGTTAATTTTAAAGGAAAGACAAAATTCTTTTTGATTTAATCCTGTCAGCTCAAAGTGATAACAATAATACTATTCCCCTGAAAAAGAAAAATTTTACTCCTTGGATGTTATAAAAAATGTAATTTTGTTTGTTTTGTGATAGCAGAAAGTTTTTACTGCCAGGAAAGTCAGCAGCAAGCAAGAGACAACCCATAGTAACAAAATCCTTCACCCTGCCAAGCAGTGCAGGAAGACGGAAGAAGATGGAGGAAACTAAACCAGAAAAAGGTTCTGCATTGTTTAAGTGATGTTTGTAATTTCATCAATATTAAAACAAATGAGTTGTAGACCCAATTATCCCTGTTTTTTTCTTTTTTCTTTCTTTTCTTTGGGGGGGGGGGGAGGGGAATATAGTAATTGTGTATATACACGTAGCCTTGGGGCTGTTTTTTCACTAAGGTCAAAAGATTATTTTTCTTCAGTCGGTAATGACCACGACAGGGTTTAATTTTCAGGGCATAAAGTTGCTTAATTTAGTCTTGACAGACAAGAAAACAAGCCACAAGAAAAAAACACACCAAAATAAAAAAAATCTTCCCCCTGCCAAGAGGGTGAGGAAGGGGGAAGAAAGAGGGGGAAAATAAAACAAAAAAAAGTTTTGGATTTTTTTAGTGGTTTTTTTATTTTTCTAAATATTAAAACAAATGGGTTTTAGACCCAATTATCCCTTTTTTTTTTTTTTTTTTTTTTTTTTTTTGGGGGGGGGGGGGTAGGGGAATATAGTAATTGTGTATATACACGTAGCCTTGGTGCTGTTTTTTCACTAAGGTCAAAAGATTATTTTTCTTCAGTCGGTAATGACCACGACATGGTTTAATTTTCAGGGCATAAACGTGCTGAATTACATAGCAGCAGATCAAATAAAAGCTTGGTCAGCACCCTCAGTGGACTTTGGCACAAGCAGCTGCCCAATTTTGAGATGGAGCAGGCCTTCAATGTTGTCTTTTCACAGCTTGGGGCTCACTGTTCTGTGTGTAACTACTTCTCAGAATTGGAGGTGAGCAATGTCAGCTAAATCAAGTGAGAAAAGTCTTTGAACCGCCTTGATGTCTTTTGTTACACTCTTAACTGCCATTAGCAAAGCCCCTTTGTGTATCTTCTGGGGTGATTTGCATTTGTGGTGGAAGTAAAAAAAGTCACGTCTACTTTTCATTATGCATCCCTGACCAGTCTAGTTGGTGAATTTTTTTAAAGTCCTCTTTAAATTACATAATTAAAAATTGTTTTCAGGGACCATTTCAGAGGGATATTTTGACCAATCTTCAGGAAAAACTTCATCAACCACTGTCCAGCTTAATTGCAGGCTTAGCTGACGTCACTCATGCAATGCATTCTGTTCCAAGAGTACCAGAGATATGTTTCATGTCTGATGACTCCTCCCCTGAGAGTATGAGCTCATGGCTTGACATCATGTTTACTACAGATACAGCTAGTCCTCTACTGCGATGTGAAGCATGTCAAGTGCTTGTTCATGCCAGTAAGTTGCTTTCTTTGCTTTTTCTTTAAAACAAAACAAGTGCATGCTTTTTCTAACAACTAGACTGGTGTTTGGGGGAACTGGAAATGCTATAGCCTTTACACTTCCTTCAGCCCAACCAACTCCTGAGGATTTCTAATAATAAGGGATTAATTTATGTCACTGTTGGTGTCCTTGTCTGTCAGGTTGTTATGGAGTAAGCAATATACCAAGCGATGGTGGGTGGAGATGTCAGAGATGTTCACAACAAGATCACACTGCTGTTCAAACGAGTGTAAGTATGGCTCTGCCTATATTAATAGCTTGTCTAATCATCAGCTTTCCTTTGGTTCTCTAGTCCTTTTGGCTGCATTTCCAAACATAATAATCTTACATTTGCTAACTGCATTAGTTTTTGGCAATGAAAATACTCCAGCTTAGAATCTGTAGAAACCTTTGGAAAATTTGTAAATGATAATAGTGCAGAAAATCATGTAGTAGTGACATATTCATCAGACCCTTGAACAACCTAACTAGACCACCACTATAGAGATTGTTTTCCCACTCTCTGTCTAGCAAAAAATTACCTTATGAAGGAGTCCCAAAAAGGCTTACTTTTGCCGTGTAAGGTTGGTTCATAACAAGAAAATTTGCACTATTATATTTGATTGTTTTGCAGTACTGTTCCCTTTGTACCCTAGGGGGAGGAGCTCTCAAGAGAACAACAGACAACAGGTATAATAATTAAATCAATTTTGTCCCTGGGACTAGGCTGTGTTCAAAATGTATTATAAAGACAAAGAAAACCCAGTTACGAATCTTATTACATTACTAATCTTTATACACACCTTCTCTCCTCATGCCCTGTGGCATGTAAGCTATTCAAACTCTTTGTCAGCCGCTACTGCTTACACCTCGTCCCAGGAGCCCCAAACCGCTTTTCTCCTTTCTTTTTCCACAACTTAACCAAAAAATATATTTTCAGGTGCAAGGGCACTGTCTTCTCTGCTTTATTTCCACTGGTTTAGTTGATGCCAGCCTGTGCTTGATGTCTTGTATTCCTCTTTTTAGATGGGCCCATGTTGGCTGTGCTGTGGCAGTGCCTGAAGTAATTTTTGTAGATGTTAATCTTAGAGAAGCAATTAATACAAATCAAGTCAGTTCAGCAAGAAAAAAGCTTGTAAGTAGAATTTGACTTAACATACGCCAGTTGTTAAAAAAGCTAGATTTGTACTAAGGTGTCCTTACTTCTGTTCTTATTATGTTCTCTGTTTTGTGGATACACAGAAGTGCTACTACTGTCGATCACGTTTGCAGTCCAGCGGAAAAGATCAAGGTGCATGCGTGCAGTGCTGTGCAGGAAAGTGTGCGGTTTCCTACCATGTCACATGCTTTGTTATGGCGGGGTTCGGACTGGAAGCAAGTGACTGGCCGCAACCCACTGAAACTTATTGTGATAGACATCAGAAGTCAAGAACTAAAGTGAGTCATTTAAACTTACCGATATTATAGTGAAGTTGTTGTTGTTGTTGTTGTTGTTGTTGTTGTTTTTCCACTTGATCTTCCTTTATTATCATCTTCTTTTCAGGGAAAACAACGTGACTTTTCCGTTATCCATTCTGGTGAATCCGTTGTCGCCAAACACAAAAATGGAAGGTAACTGGAACTTGATAAAGATCAGTTTTTGATGGTCACACCGCCTCTTACTGACTCCTGACCGTCACTTGTATGTGTTTCAGATTTTACCATGGAGTAGTACGAGATACAACTTCTGAGGAATACTACGTGGTATCATTCGATGATGGAACTTACTGTGACAATCTTCCTCCAAGTGACATTGCCGTAAGTTACTGCTCAGTTTGAATATATCAAATCTGTCATTCTGTGACATGCTGGCAAACCCTAACCATGCACCATGTTGACTGAGATGGGTCATAACTTGTTTTGTTCTTGTAGAGTCACGATAGCACAGGAGGGGATATTCCTGTAGGAAGCAAAGTACAAGTCAAATGGGGAGATGATCAAGATCTGTTCATGGCAAGAGTCACTGGTCGAAGGATTAGCGTTACCTATCAGGTAAGCACTAGTTTCCATTTGTTACTTTATGTAGGAAAAAAGGGTTGAAATTCAGGCAAGTCCGGCCAGAAACACTAGAAGTTGTGACCGAACTATTCTTCTTTTATTACCTTTACTGGTTATCCAGTAAGAGCGAGCGAAACTCAGTCTACTATGTTACTGTGAGGATGAATGTGACAGGCACCTGCGATTACCACGTGACTAGGGTTTGGCGTTCAGTATACAGAGTAAAGTAATGCAAACCTCTCAAGTGATGGCTCCCAGTTGGCTGTTTGTCTTAAAAGAAGCTTTTAAGGCCAAGGAGTTTTGAAACCGGCACCACCCACTGACCATAATGTTCTCTTAGCAGCGTAAAGTGTGTAACAGTACATTCAGTTGTTGAGTCCTCAAGGTCCGAGGGCTGGTTTCAGGAATAAATGAACATCATTTCAGACCGAACATCTCACGTCGGTGCATAACAACGATACGTTCCCACTAAACGTCTTGAACATTGTTTCGTCAGGTTGAATTTGAGGACGACTCTTGGCTGAATGTGCGTCGGGAGGATGTCTACAAAGCAAACGAAGAGCTTCCGATAAAAGTACAACAACGACTAGTGAGTAGCAGGCTGTAGTACCATAACATTACAGTGTAGTTATCTTACCTGGTACTATATATTCCCTTGCCAACATAATACACTGCGTTACATTACAGTGTGCTACGTGAAGAAGAACTACTCAAGTGACTTCTTTCCATTTTTTTTCCTTTTTTTTCAGTCTTCCGCCACGGAAAGAGCAAATCTGTCTTACTGGGACGACATTCCTGAACACAACGCCAAGCGACCACGAAAACAAAACCCGCGATTTTTGGAGTAAAGAGTTGTACTATATGAATTTATTTTGGGGGCTAGTCCCTTACGCAGGCGTTCTTTTCCCTTACCTGCTACAAGCTATAAGCTATTTTGTTAACAGAATTACATCACTGGTCACGCTACCTTCAACTGTAGGGTAAACATATTTCTCCTCCATGATGTAAATTTTACACGATCTTCCTTCCGTATGAAGTGAAGATATTGCTTACTGCCTTTACAGTTTAGAGTTTAAGCTACCAGACAAGCCTGCATGCATACTTTGAACTTACAATTTAACATGCCATGCTTACGTTACCTTGATAGTGTTTACTTCACCCTCGCCTTGGCATTGGCGTGACCATCAAGCGAGACTAACTATCACACACGGCCGGCTTTTCAATTCTTCTCATAAAGTAGCAGCTGAGTAAGACGCTATTCCGCTGTAAGTTAAGGGAAAATGCAGCCACCACAAAAAGTATTTGGTTTACAATTAGATCATAATGGGCTGGCCCATAGCTGACATCGTGACGGCATTCTTGATTCTTTTTTCTTTTTTTTTTTTCAAACTTGGAGACACGATGAAAGCGTCCATCTCAGAGTGTCTTCATAGATAAAGACAACGTACAGTAGGCTCGTCTCATGAGATTTGATTTTCTGACTGGAGTATAAATTCTTTTTTATCGCCCATAGCCAACACTAAGCAACTAAAGAACCAGCGTTTCATCTGGCATTCAGATACCTTGAACTCGGTTTAACAACTAAGTTGCTCGTTCTTTTTTACAACCCATTTCTCAGTGTCTGGATATCAAATGAACTGACCTACTGCACAAAATGGCGTTTGGTATCAGTAAAATAAAACCCGGTTATGTGGTTAAGTGTACAAAAAGGTTTTCTACAAATTGCTTTAAATGACAATTTATATTTATTAAGTAAAACATGATTTGTACGTCAGTTATAATTATATACAAGAATAATTTGCTCAAATTCTTCCACGGGCTCCACATTAAAAACCATACATGCATAAGTTCGATGGCATATTCAGCCTCTTGAAAAGTAAAAAGGTGTTGAATCTAGGCAATGTTTGTTTTCTGACACTTTCTGCTATGTAAGCAGCGCTTATTTAGTGTTATGTTAGTCCTACTTGGTCATTATCGCGCGAATAATTTACGTAGTTTAGGAGAAAAAGTAAAGTAGAGCCTGATTGCTGGTTCTAGAATTATTTAGTTGCAGCTATTTATAATTATCACTTATTTAGTGCTGCGCTTACTTCCATTTCCCATCCTTGAAAAAACAAGAGGCTTTTTACATTAATTCGTTAACAGTTAACAGATTTCACCGCTGTTTGTGTACGAGTGGCAGAGAGTTGTTACGAGGCATGTGCGTGGTTAAACCAGGCTTAAGCTCCAACATTGTTGACCATCGAGTTTGTTACGCGAGGACGATAGGAGAAATAGGCCATAATAAAGAAAAGCTGTTGGTCACAAGGACTTAATTGTTACAACATGACCCGCAACGTTGAAGCAGGACATAGTTCTGCTCCAACTTAGCCTGCCAAACAGTGTCAATCTAAAAACATCCCAAAACTTAAGTTAGCAATGTTGGAATGCTTCATCTTGGCTTTACATATTATTATTTAGCTATTTAACTGCTTCGAACATCACTTTCCATTTTCTTCAACGTGATGACTTCACCACACCCACATTCATGCGTTTATACGTATTATCCAATTTCCTCTGAAGCTTTGGGATTCCATTAAAAGTTTTGAAAATCCTTGTTCACTGAGTGTTTCGTTATATTTAATGTTCAACCATGAACAACTGTGCTTAAAAGCTCCAAAGTAAGAGACCAAGGAAATACGGACGTAGAAACTTGGAGAAACTCACATGTTCCATCATGGATCAGTCTTGTTACCGGAGGTGGTCATTATATCACAGCACTCTTAAGATAACTCACCAAGCATACACACTGGTTAAGTAAATCTTGAATGCTTGACCAGGCTGCTGAATGTTCTGTTTGTATACGCCGCGCAATGGTGGTCAGTTCAGGAAAATGCGCTACTGTGGGACCATGAAGCTGCAGTAAAAAACAGACCACAGTAAAATCAGTTCATAGGGTTGAAACGTATACGTAATGCAAGGAAACCATGTGATGGAATGAAGGGTTACTTTGTAAAGATACTGTGCTGAAGTGCTGATAAGGTGGGCGGGAATGTGTCTTTATAACTAAATAGAGTTAATGAGGTGCTAACTGCGATTGATAACGATCCTAAACAACAAGCGACAAAAGGTTCTGTACTACACAAAACATCTGCAAAGCTCGTCTTCGTATAGAGAAATTCAATACTGATCAAGAGATAATCACGAAAGTGACAGGTCACCTTGAGAAAGAGCCCCAGTATGGCCTCGGTGAACTCAAAGTCTGTTCGTAGTCGAAGTTGATGCTCAATAAACAGCATGAAAATTTCAAGCAGCTTAACATCTCCTCCAGCAGAAGGACCAAGACAACGAATTTCAGCATCAATTGACGAAGGACCCATTGATTTGAGCAGCTCCAGCAAAGATTCATCTGTAAAGTAACGAAATATAAGATAATACGGACTACACTGGCTTCTATCACCAGGGTGCTTGCCATTCGGGCTAGCTGTAGCTAGCATGTACTTGCCCAAACATCACTTTAACTAGCCCTAAAAGCTTTTTGATGAGCAGGTTTGAATACACAGTCCTTCTGTAATTTGAATTCTCAAAAAACTTCACTCGCCCATCGGGCACGCTAAGAACAAAACAAAACTCAATCCAGGGCTGGCACTACAGCAAAATCAGCCCTTTACCTAGAGCCAGCCCTGCACTGAGTTTTGTTTTATTTTACACTTTAAGTGACGTCTGGCTACAGTATCTCTTTAATTAGAGATCCGGCAAGAGGAACCAGTCAGTTATATTTACGCGTTGCGTGGACCTCTGCATTTAAACAGTTTTTCCTAATAAACAAAAGTCACTAGCCCGATAGCAAAATCCTCTAGCCCCAGGCTATCGGACAGTACTTGATTTGCACGCTGTGTCACTCTTGTAACTTAAACAAGGGACAGCTTGTTGCTACTGTAAAATCTTAGTGTTGTAACCTTTCATCAGAGGAATGCCTAAAATAGGTGCAATAGGTCCATAATTAGTGTCGGCTCCATATGTATATATACATATACATATGTTATGAGCGCAAGAATAGTCACTTTAGTTTTACAGGAAGAGCACCCCTTGCCCAGTCCACACGCAATCAGTTCGCAATCTCAAAAGGATATGTACCTATTTGGGCGGCCCTCTTAAATACCTACAAGATGGTTTGCTCTTTATTCTTCATTAAATTCTCTTAAAAGAAACCAAGGCGTCAACTTTTAAGTGCTACAAAATTCCCTTAATTAATACACCAATTACTTACAGTTTTCTTTTCTGTTACAGTCTTTCACACATTTTTGAAATTCCGAGTCAGGTTGGAGTTGTTGCATGTTTAGAATCTTTGACTTCCTCTCCTGTGAACAAAAACACCGTAACAGGAGTAAGTACTGCTAAGGTACACTTCAGCTATACCTAGCTACCGTATTTACAGTAATGGGTATAGGGGTACCAACAAGTGCACTCATCGTAACAGGAGTAAGTACTGCTAAGGTACACTTCAGCTACACCTAGCTACCGTACTTACAGTAATGGGTATAGGGGTAAACCAGCGCACTCATCGTAACAGGAGTAAGTACTGCTAAGGTACACTTCAGCTATACCTTGCTACCGTATTTACAGTAACGGGCCGACTATATGGGTACTAACCAGTGCACTCATCGTAACAGGAGCGTGTGCTACAAAGGTAGACAATACCTTAAGTGGCTTGTTATACACGGTAGCAGGGTACAGGGATACCAATTAGTACACTCACCGTATTGTCTGCTTGATCGTCTTCGGTTGGAAGAAACTTGGGCACCAGTTCTTGAGTTGTGGGCAGGAAAAATGGCGCAGATTTGGGGGCTTTGGGTGGCTCCTTGGGCTTGTTTCTTTTCTACCGATTGAAAAAAAGATCACATACCTCAGTATGTTTATGTTAGAGCTAAGTAATCATAGTACAAGATTACAAGACTACAAGAGTATAAAAACTTTTCGAGTATAAAACTGTATTCTGCTGTGACATGCACGTGGCACAATCGACCATAATTCTACCGCACCGAGAATGCAAATCATGTCTAAAGAGGCCGGTCTAAACTACAAACTCTGCCAGCAAACCTTCTGTTTAAACTTTTCAACGAGAGTCAAGGCTGTCCTACATGTATGACAAGTAAGTTAACTCGCCCTATCCAATTTTCCAACAGAAGATGAACTGGTAGGCTGTGATAGGATACCTTTACCTTAATTAGCTCTAAACTTGTCAGATGTCTCCATCTTGATTGCGGTAAAAGAGACAGTGTTACAAGTTCATCCGACAGCTGATCAGGACTCTTAAAAGCTGCTTTATTTTTAGTTACAGCTACGGCGTTATTCTCCACTTCCGTTCTTGCCGTCGTCTCGTTTTCACCGGCTTCAAATTCTACGGGATAAAGCACACGGTTCTTATAACTGAGCTATAAAACTAGTGTATGGAGTCCACCACTTTCCTACACCTCAGTGATGGAACGCCCGACAAGGTTTAACTCCTGTCGGGAGTCCATTACAAACACAGTTAACACACAAACATTAACTACAAGTGAAGTTGACTGTGCATGGTGACCTTACCATCAATATCCCGCTCTGTCCCTGTTACCGGAAGTTGCTCTACTGTCGGTTGATAGTCCGCGGGAAGAGGAATTAACGATATATCATCGTACAGGGTTTTGTTGGACCTGTTTGTAATAAGATGTTGGTGAGCGGAATTCTAGGTAACACACTCATTAGGCTGGTCAGTATTTAGCACAAGAGCGCTTGACTTTCATGGTTGTCACGAATAAAAGGAAATTTCCAGCCTAATTGGTTAGACTGGTTGGGTTGGATCCGACTTCAAAAGTTCAAAAAAACTTCGAAGTAAATCTAGTTCAGCTAAGTTACTCTTTCGGTTTGGTTAGGGTAATAGGAGAGGTGGGTGGGTGGGGGAGGTGTGGGGGGCTGCAGGTGATTGACCGAAAGAAGGATATGGCCTTGTTAACTGTCGTTCAGAGGCTACGAACCAATGATAAAGAATTCCAAACAAAACAGTTGGGACTTTACTTATACTCACCATAAATATACGCCAAGATCATCAACATGGGTAGTTACAAGGAAATCCTCTACAGGGGACATCGCTAAACTGGTTACTGGAGATTCTACTAAAAAGCAATCTATCAGTCTGCAAAAACAAACAACATCAATAATACTTTATAATGTACGTTTTTCGCTTGACGTCTTATATGACACATGACCTACAGACCGGCAGACAGACTTTATTATCAAAAGAGCGCCAAATGGAACATGTTTTACAAGGATAATAAAGATTCCAAAGAAAGAACAAAAAAAATACAGTTAAAATCTTCCCCAGCCCTTTTTAAATACTGGCTGTAACTCTGTCATCCACAATAACTGACGCATTGTCCAGGATAAGTCCAATCCAAGCTGCAATATTTCCGCAAGAGGCAATGTGGGGATGGACTAGACACACAATGATGATGAAACGAAAGACGTTGACAGCGCTTTTATCAAAGTATAGCAAAAGTAGAGCAGAAATTATTACCTGGCAGCTGGAAGATCCCAGGTCCTCACACTTGAATCCATTGATGATGTGATCAACCACCGGGAATCTGGGCTAAAGGCCTGAACATAAGATATCATGAACGTAATGGGGCAAGATATCAACTGGGACATTGTCCTGTCCCCTGCTCCAGTTGCAATATTCATTCATTTTATTTTATTATACTCTACTTTGTTTTTCGTTATCTAACTGACGTATTTTATATTGTTATGCACATATTAACTGATAACATGTAACCAATTCAATAAAGTAAAGTAAAGTAAATAAAATGAAAAGGAAAACAAGAAAAGACAGCTGACTGGCATGGAAAGATCCAAAAACATCTGATGAAGTGATGCAATGAAAGCAGAGCTGCTCACCATGTCTGTAATCCTATTTGTATGCCCTCTGAATATCCTTACAACTCTTCTCATATCTATATCTACCACCTGGATTTCAAAGTCATCTAAAGAAACTGCCAGTAAGGAGCTATATAAAGAAAGAAAAAAGAATGTAAGGGAATAGTGTAATAGCTATAAAGAAAAAAGTCAGACGTTCTACAAACCAATTGTCTTTACATCAAAATGATGCATGTTCAGTTACTCCATTCTACTGCAAGACTGGTTATCAATATTACTAATTCAATGAAGTGGGAAATGTCAACTCCAATATTTGAATGTGCACAGGAATCCCACTATTCCTAATGATAATACCTACCTCTCTCTGTGTAACAAAATCTGTGCAATGGGAGCCTCAAACGTCATGGTGTGGAGAAGTTTACGAGCTTTAAAATTCCAAAACTGCAAGAGCCGAAAAAATATTTCACAGGGCATTACATTATGAGGCATTAAGGGCATAATCATATAAAAAAATAATTCAATTTGTACCTTCACTTTACAATCGGCTCCAGCAGTTATAACTTGCTGGTTTACACTGTCAATAGCTAGACCTCTTATGCGACCACTGTGTGCTGAAATTGAAATGCATATTACATGTAACAAATACAGATAATCCATGGGCCACAATGCAGCTGTAAAAGTCTACAAATCTTACACACTCATTATACTAACTCATCTATGTTTTCAGTAAGGGTGAATTTGTGTGTGTCAACTGTGTATGATGGAGCGTTAAGTTGCTTATTTTGGCCACAAACACAGCCTGTCAACAAAACTAAAAGGGAAGGAGCAGAGGCAAATGAAAAGAATCTCCTCCAATTCCTGCTCCTGGCTAACTCTTATGCACTCTTTTTCCTTCCAATGATGGCTCACATGTATGTAGCCTAAGCTTAAAATATGATCCACAGAATATAAACTCTCCTATCTTGTAAATGGTCTTCAGTTCTCACAGTACAGTCTCAAAACATCTTTTATATCTCACATGGCCTCGTTGTTACAACTGACACTCCTTAAAGATCAAAGCTAAGTGTACTCATGGAATACAGGCGATTTTTTTTTTATTTGGCGGGGGAATCACAGGCCTTCCCGCTTATCATATAACTTATTTACCTTTTGGTGTCCCTAAATGCCCTCTGTGAATTCCGGATTGAATGTTAAACATATCAACATGTCCATGAGCATCACCAGTGATGGCAAAATTTCCACAGGAACTCATAGTTGTCACCTGTGGATCACAGAAAAATACAGTTTACTTTCATTATTTAAGAAATTCAGAGGTGTCTGCCAGTGCAGGAGATTAGAATTTGACAAACCACCAGCAATTTAATCCTAAACAAAGATCACCTCACCTACCCCCTTCTTCTGCAAAATGACACTGCTGTACAGGTAACTAAGAATAGTACTAATTTTGGATCTGAAAAAATGTTATCTTCTCAATTTTAAAACAGTCTCGCACAAAAACCTTCAACTTAAAGTGAATCTTAAAGATGCATTGTTTTCGTCCACAATACCAGAGGAGACAAGTAATGTAGATAATCCTGAGAGTTTCCACACTCTGGGAAAATATGTCATAGCCTTCTCAATAACAGCAGTTCAATCAAGGAGTATATTATACTCATATCTGGCATTCATTAGACATACAATAACATATTTCATGTACACACACCAATACTATCTACACACCAGGACAGGGCCAGGATTATCATCAGCTTGTGATTTCAAATGATGTTTACCAATGCTCTTCCTTTGGAAGCTCCACGTCCTGGCTTCCATAGCACCCTGATGGCAAGTCACTATATTGTCCCATGCACTCTGACGCATATCCTCTGCCATAAAGTAATTGCCATAGTTACCAAGTTAAATATTTATCAACCAGGTCCTAGTTGTTCAAACATTGGATAGCACTATTCACAGGATAAATTTCTATCCAGCGGATAATGCAATAATTGTTTCCTATAATACTTACCTGCTGGATAGTGATATATCCAGGAGATAGCGCTGTCCAGTGTTTGAACAACTGAGCCCAGAACTATAGTTATTCAATTTCTCTCTCCATTTAGTATTTGTAATTCTTACATGAAATGGAGCGAAAAATGAGTTGTTTAAAATATACATGATTGATATTTTGTAACACAATAAAGCCACCTAAATATTCTTATAAAATGGTTACAGAAAAGAGCCAAGTAATAGTTTTAGCACACTGTTGAATTCATTGGTCAACTTCATAAAATAATGTTCCATACCAGAAGCAAAATCTATTATTGGTGGCAACTTCAGCTCTTCTAAATTGACACCACGANACTATCTACACACCAGGACAGGGCCAGGATTATCATCAGCTTGTGATTTCAAATGATGTTTACCAATGCTCTTCCTTTGGAAGCTCCACGTCCTGGCTTCCATAGCACCCTGATGGCAAGTCACTATATTGTCCCATGCACTCTGACGCACATCCTCTGCCATAAAGTAATTGCCATAGTTTCCAAGGTAAATATTTATCAACCAGGTCCAGTTGTTCAAACATTGGATAGCACTCTTCACAGGATAAATTTCTATCCAGCAGATAATGCAATAATTGTTTCCTATAATACTTACCTGCTGGATAGTGATATATCCAGGAAATAGCGCTGTCCAGTGTTTGAACAACTGAGCCCAGAACTATAGTTATTCAATTTCTCTCTCCATTTAGTATTTGTAATTCTTACATGAAATGGAGCGAAAAATGAGTTGTTTAAAATATACATGATTGATATTTTGTAACACAATAAAGCCACCTAAATATTCTTATAAAATGGTTACAGAAAAGAGCCAAGTAATAGTTTTAGCACACTGTTGAATTCATTGGTCAACTTCATAAAATAATGTTCCATACCAGAAGCAAAATCTATTATTGGTGGCAACTTCAGCTCTTCTAAATTGACACCACGACTCTTGGATTTCTTTGCCAAAGAACCTGTTTTAAACAATATCAAAACCATTGTAAATAAAATCACGCCGGGTCAGCTGACGTGACTTTTGGGTCCCTTAATTGAAGCCAAGGAACTACTTTTACAGTTTTTATCTGTTTGAGCCCAAAGTTTACACAATGGTAGAACTTTGTACTCCAAACAATCGTATGTTTTTTTTGTTTTTCAATTTCAACAGTTTTTGGCAAGAAAATGATGTCACATGATTGACAGCAAAATTGAAACTTCAACTAGTGACCTAACAGATAGATATTTATTATAGAGCATGACATTATAGAAACAAATGTGGAAAAAATTTTTGAAAAGCTCATGCAATTGCTTTAGAAATGTGCTTGTGTTTCTAAAAATAGTAACAAAATGGGGGGAAATTCAAAAATCATAGCTTAATAACTTCTTAACCAATTGAGCTTTTCAAAAAAAAATTTCACTGGTGATTTTACCACTTTGTGCTCTTTGAAAACTACTTATTTGTTACATCGTCAGTTGAAATTTCAATTTTGCGCCAATCATGTGACATCATTTTCTTGCCAAAAACCATCAAAATTGAAAAATAAAAAACATACAATGCTTTGTAATACAAAAATGTACCATACTACAAACTTTGGGCTCAAACAGATAAAAACTGTAAAAGTAGTTCATTGATGGCTTCAATTAAGTGACACAAAAGTTGGGACAGCTGTTCTTACAAATGAATATACTATGTCCAGATAGTATAACAAAATATTAAACATTTGAAGCAAATGAGCACTAAATGGAGGATTAAAGATTCAACACTGAACTGTGCCAGTTTGCAGGGCTCTGCAAGACCCCCATGTTTTCCATACAGAAATAGTGTTTCAAAGGGGTGACTAATAAAAACATTGTGAAGAGGACAAAAAGCATATGTTACCTTGAGATAATTCACAACTGCGTGCATCTCGCACTTTGGAAATAAACCTCAAACTCCTGTCCAGTCCTAAAACACACACAGACGTGTATTTAAAACCAAAGAGTGCAAATATTATGGTGTGCTGTTGGGAAGAGTTTATTCTACATATTTTTCCAAGTCAAGAACTTTGCTTCCTTTAATCAACAAAACAATAATTTAGTTATTTGGACTAAATGTTCTAAATGTTGAGTCTTATGATGCAGCTACTGAGGGGAGGATGCTTACAACCTAACACTTATATTAAAGGCTGGGCTTTTTTATAAACCAAGCATTCAATCCACAGACTAATGAAAAATTACTTATAGCAAACCACAAAAAAATCGCATATGAGTCATGTCAAAAATTACCATGAAATCATTCTCACCAGCACTCAATATGTCAACTCCCTTGCTGCCATAGAAACGAACTTTTGTAGGAGGGGCACTATGGCATGAGCGTGACCTTAACAAACGGCCACTCCCATCTGGTTGGTCAAATATCCAAATCTAACGGGAACAAAGAACACTGTTTCAGTACACTACTATACTGAACTTTTTATATAAAATCAGATACCAAAATACTTGACCAAATACTTCTGTTTAAAATACATGTAACTCACCTTTAAAGAGTTATCTGGACCATTGGTAACCAGTAGAGGCTGAGAAGGAAGAAATTTCATTCCACAAACCACGCCCTTATGAGCATCACGCAACACAGTACCAAGCTGACGTTTTTCCAAATCCCAAAAAGCAATGTGACCTTCTGTGCTGGCTGAAGCCATGATGGGGTTACCATCTATAAACAAAAATTCAACACTTGAATTAAGAAAAGAAGCAGAGACCTATTGTGTAATTTAGGACATTTAAAATAGTTAACTAAGTTAGTGTTTTTAACCTTAACTTATAATATTATTTAATAAAAAACATCTCCACCAATGCCATGCATACTCCACTTTACCTTATTATTCGCGTCTTTAAAATTTGTATATTGTTAAAAAGTATTCATTGTACCTGTTCTGAATGCAAGAGCTGTCACTGGACCCCACTCCTGCTGGAAACTCATAACAGGTTCGTCAAACTTAAGGTTGTGAAGGATCATTTTGCCGCTCTGCAGCCCAACACCAACTACATCAACAGCAGGAGCCTGCAAAACAACAAAATAGTCAATAAACATTGTACTTAACTGAAAGTGGAATCAACAGAATCAGTGATGGTTATTGAAGCATAGCCTTTGCCTTAAGATTTCCAAATTTCTTTCTGAACCCAGTTTCTTTACAACAAGGTAGCTGTCCCCTGTCGAACAGTCAATTTCTGTGCAAATTTCCCTTCTACACTGTAAGGGATAGTAATGTGAATAAAGGGTATGTTATGAAGTAAGAAGAGGGAACAAGGCACAATGTATATTAAGGGCTATTCAGGAAGCTGTGACATTGAACATAAAAAGGGTATTTTATCAAGAAATGTTAGATCCAATGTTCTGATCTACATGATCATAATGTTATAGTGTTTCAATAAGAATTTATTCTATTAAAGGTCACCACTATGCTGATGCAATGCTGATTTATGTTAGTAGTAAACAAACTGGTAAGGCATGGTTGAGCATTAAAAATAGTTAGAACTCACTTGTTCTACAGCTAATATGGGTTCTGACCATCCAGAAAATGTATAAATCAATTTGCTATAAGAAAAAGACCATTGGTAAAATTTGCACAGTACATTCACAATGTATTTGACAATATAACCTGAAAATGTAAACTGGCCGAAAAATTTCAGCATCAACTAGAATACATGTAATGGTACCTGTATATATGCTACTTATGCAATAAGTTACCAAACTACAACAATACATGTAGTTAATTATGTAGTAAAATTAATCAATAAACAAATCTGCAACCTGCCATTTGCTATCAATTTACTGATCTACAACATTCCTGTACATGGCGTGCTAGAGCAAATATCTTTTAGCAACAAAATAAAGCACTAAAGAATATTAGCAGCTGAAGAATAGAGAGGATAAATCAATCCATACTTTGTTTTGATGTTCCATAGTTGCATCTGACCCTGTCGACTGCACAGTAAGATCTTATTCAGATATGTACTGGGATGCGTCAAACATGTCACATAAAAATTCTTTGCATTAAATTCCATCTCCAGATATAATTCTACAATGAGATTAGACACTAGTATTAGTAAAATAACTAACTCTATCATGCCATGGTTGACAAGAAACTAGAGATGGGAAGGTTCCATCACTCAGTAGTATCAGCAAACTTGCCCACCAAGTTTGACAATAATTCTTAAACTTGGTAGGCAAGTTATTTTCTATTCGAAAATAAATTTCAGCCACCCTTCTGCTAGGATATTTTTTAAAAAAACAAAACTGTAATTTTTTTTCACCTGTTGTTTCTACAAGCCATATCCTGACTGTACTTTCTTCATCAACAGAAATCAAATGAGAGCCAAATGAAAGAATAAAGTGAATGGTACTTCTGTGCCCCTTAAATTCTGCAACCTAATATAAGCAAAAAAAAAATTATTGCTGTCAGTAAGGGGAGAAAATATATATATGGAACAAACTGGTTGCCTCCTGTTAGCTGGGGTTTTTAATCCTGTTACGTTCAATTTGGATTATTTGTTTGTAATAATTTGAGAGGCATTCCTGTAAGCTAGACAAATAAGCTAAGTGCACTTTGCACTATAAACAAACCTTTATAACCTTTTTTTATAACCTTTATAGCAAAAAGGCTCATAGCTCCTTAGAAAAACTATTGTGCATTATTGAAAGGAAGTGGAACAATACATCTTACCAACCACATCTTTTTATCCCAGAAAATTATATAAGCAGCTATTTTGGTCTATCTATTTTTGTTTGTTTTTTGTTTGTTTGTTATTGAGCCTGCCCTCAGAAAGACTGAGGTTCATCAGAGAGAGAGAGAGAGAGAGAGAGAGAGAGAGAGGAAAAGGAAAATAAAGACACTGTAATGTAAAGGGTCATTTACATTGGAAAAATATAAAAATAATATTATATTTACTGTCATTAAAATTAAAAAAAGTGACTCCAAAGACAAAGACTACAAACATTGCTCTACAGAACAAAACTCTTACACAGGGCAAGACAAGGCACACAATTTAATCAACAAGCACCTCTAGATCATCTAGAACTTGTTGTAAAGCAGCAGCAAACCTGTTTTCCCCTTCTCCAGGAAGTCATTTCTTTCCCAGAGGCTGTGATTACCAAGTCTCCGTGTGATAATAAACATGATATCTCCCCAGATTGTAGTAAGCCTATAAATTAAAGAGAAAAAGTTACATCCTGGCTTAAGTTTATAATATATAAGCTTAAATATTAAAATGGCACTACACAGTGCATACACTGAGCTGATATACTTATAATAATAATAATAATAATAATAATAATAATAATAATAATAATAATAATAATAATAACAAATACTTTAGTGATACTGCAAAAAATAGATCTGCAGAGTATGAAAATAAAACTGGTGTATACTTATGTGCAGTAATAAAATATTTCAAGATTAAAAAGAAAAAACAACGGTTTATAGTAAAAAAGCGGAAAGACTAATATTTACAATAAAAAAGGGTGTTAACAAAATTAAAATGAATTAATCTACAATATACATTTATAAATGCTGTGTTTTGTCTTGTTCTTGCAAATACTTAAATGTCTTTCTTTTAAAAGATCCTAATGTTAGGCCATCAACCCGTAATTCATTAGGTAACTCGTTCCAATCTTTGCCTACTAGATAGTGTTAAAAGTCCTAGTTTGTCTCTCATCGTTTGTGAACAAGTCAGGTGGTTTGCCCTTAAGATAGTCCTCATAGCTGTGTTTTGTAATTGTTCTAAAAAATCAGAGCTCTTCTTGGAGCAAGATCCCATAAAATACAACCGTAATCTAAAATAGGTAAAATCGTCGCTTTATAAATCTTCAAAAGGGTAGTTGGATCTAGAAAGGAGGAAATCCTATTCAACAACTTAGTTTGGGGTAGACTCTGGAGGCGACATAAGATATGTGACTGTTCCAAGAGAACGATTCATCTACTATCACACTGAGGTACTTAAAGGATCTCTTCTGCTCTAGAAGAGAATCACCGAAAGATATATGAACATCTCTGGCAGTTTTGACTGCCCTGTGTGATGCAATAACCATTGTCACCATCTTTTTTGTGTTACAAATAAGACTATTGTTAGAGAACCACTGGTTAGTGCTTTTGGGATCCTTGTTAATTATGTACTCGGCCTTGCCAACGTCTTTGGAACTAAAATGAATCTCAGTATCGTCTGCAAATAGCGCAACACCAGAATTGTGACATGCTTTAGATATGTTGTTTATATGGATATCAAGGACCCAGGACCGATCCTTGAGGGACTCCAAACGGGAGACGTCAAAGCACAGAAGAGCAGTTTCTACACACAACAAATTGAGATCTGCCTATAAATAGGTAGCTATTGAACCACTGAAGAGCGTTCCTTTTAATACCCTAAGAATCAAGTTTGGCAAGCAGTATATCATGCCTGATGACATCAAACGCTTTTCTCAAGTCTAGAAAAACGCAAACAGAACTTATTAATTTCCTCTTTACCTGTTGGTTAGGGTTTAATTAAAAGGAATATAACATAAAAAAGATTATATTTTCAACTTACCGACGAAAAGAAGGTTTAGCTTGGCACACTATAAAACAAAAATGGTTCTTAAAACTTACAAACTTAAGAAACAGCTACACGGAGTCAATAAATAGTGAGAAGATTATGCCTACATTATACACGTGAAAGGCCGATCCCACGGCAGTAGTTACAAGATTTTCGGTTCCTTGTGTCTGTACAGTCAGTGGAACATGATTTGCCACAAAACCTATAGCTCGAAATGGACAAAACAACTGACTTCCAACTCCAGCCGCCATGTTGAATTTACCACGTGCGTAGTACCGCTGGTCAACTGCTTTTTCATAAAACAGACAGAGTGAGATCTGGAAGCAAGATAAAAATTTGCCTGGAAGTTTGGGAATGGTGCCAGAAAGATGGTTACAGGGATAAATCAAATAAAAAAGGGAATTGTGGAACAATAAACGAAAGGCAATAGACCTTATCTACGTATAGATTGCTATACTATGTTATGCATATTCTGTTATTCAGGAAGTCATGAATGAAACAAGTGCAGAAGTTAAAACCAAAAGAAATCAATGCCGTCATACTAGTTGGAGTCAGGAGCTGGTTAGGGTTATTAGGAATCAGCTCCTGGTTCGGGTATGTTCTTCCTTAGGGGTCAAAGAAAAAAGAAAGCCTGTTCCCTCGCCAAGACTGGCCACCTTAAGGGGTTTAAAATTACTTTCCCCTATTCATGACAGTCGCTCCACAACATCTGTAAACCCGAAGAAGGCTTGTATGGCCAGCGGAAATATTGTTATAAAAACAATACGGTAAGTCAAGAAAGCGCGCTCATACCGCACACGTTGTTATTATCAACTTTGCACCCGGGGCTTTGCAGTAGTCTTTGGACTTCTCTTCTTTCTTTGTTCCCAATATTCTGGCTGATTAGATATCTTTTCTAGAGATCTAACGTTGACAACCAGCGGGATCCTCGTCCACGGTTTTTGCAGTTATTTTCTTTTTAATTAGGCAGTAACTGTTTTACCCCATCCCGAAGCTTGAAAGAGTATTACTCAGCAATGTATTGCATGTGGAGGCTTCACCCCGAGGCCTCACTCCTTATTCACCCTGAGGCCTCACCCCTTATTCACCCTGAGGCCTCACCCCTTATTCACCCTGAGGCCTCACCCCTTATTCACCCCGAGGCCTCACCCCTTATTCACCCTGAGGCCTCACCCCTTATTCACCCCGAGGCCTCACCCCTTATTCACCCTGAGGCCTCACCCCTTATTCACCCCGAGGCCTCACCCCTTATTCACCCTGAGGCCTCACCCCTTATTCACCCCGAGGCCTCACCCCTTATTCACCCCGAGGCCTCACCCCTTATTCACCCCGAGGCCTCACCCCTTATTCACCCCGAGGCCTCACCCCTTATTCACCCCGAGGCCTCACCCCTTATCTTTTGTAGTAGGCGTTTGAGGTAGGGGATTGGGAGGAAGTGGAAAAGAGGGGGCTACCTTTCATCCACTATTTTTGACAGACAAGGTAACCCTTATGTCCATTGAAAATGGAATCTCCGTCTTTCACATACCTAGCTACTAACATGAAGTCTTTCTGTTTTTCTCGTGTACTCTCCCTAACCTTTGGGAACTACTCGTAGTATAATCTTAGCCTGAAAAAGATACCTTCTTTCGGGTGGAAAAGCGCGTATAGGCCATTATGGAGAGTTTCCCACTATTAACCCCTTGCCCGCAGCCGTCGGCCGATCAGAAATAGGAACCAGTTCGCAGGCATTTCGAAATGTTTTAATTTTTTGTGAAAGTCGAAACTTTCTTATTTCATCAGCATTTCCAAACTAAGAAAAATTGTTCTTGTTTTCAACCAATGAAATAAATTAATACAGTTGATTCAAAGTAAGTACATGTCTGGTAGTACCTTCTAATACTGAGCCAGTCAAAAGACGTTTTACTCTGCACTGAAAACTAGAACTCTAATTAAATTAAATACAGTAGCCACTTCCTCCATAGGGCTTTCCAAAGGACAATTGAACCTCCTATATGGTACCTTGCTTTGGAATGCTATTACAGCCAATTAATCTATTAAGCCATTCTTGGCATTTAGCGTTAACATTTGCATTTTCTTGTGATCGCGAGGCATCTAACAATGCTTTTTCTGTCAATCCTGATGTTGATACAGAGCAACTCATTTCAGCAGCCGGGCTAGTATCGGCAGTCAGTTCAAGTTCACCTCTACTTTGACAAAGTTCTATGGTCTGTGAAGAACGTAAATCAACAGGACAACTTACACATTGTCTATACGAGTTTGATCGCTCCCGCGCATCTGAAAAGTTTAAACGGCGTTTGGAATTATAGGTGGCTCTGCCCAAGTCCATCGAGCGTTCTTTGTTTCTTCGATTTACAAAAGGGAAAGGTGGACAAGAAGAGTTACGTTTGCTTAAAAGACGACGTCGCGTTTTAAGAACGGCAAGAGAGGTATCCGACTGTTTGACAGCATCATCATAGATATTTGTTTTTGTTTTCAGAACAACTTCTCGTAGTTTGATACAGTGCTCATTTGTTTGTAAAGAACAGTTTGAAATTGCTTCTTTATGATGAGTAGACAAACTTCTAAACGCGACAAGGTCAGCATGAAGAGATTGATGCGACTGCAGACACATGTTTATAGGGCGAAAGTTCAGCTTCTCTGTATTCCTTATTACAGCTTTGTCCTGATTTAAGATGTCTTTGAAATGGAGTGTAATTTTACGTCTTTTTTCCGGCGCAGTCACCGAGTTGTTAGAACTTATATTAGACGCTTTATCAGAGTCCTGATGAGGCTGTGAGGTAGACCCTGAAAGGCCGACGGCAGGGACTAAATCATCCCCTGAATCAAGTTCACAGAATCCACTGTCGCTTTTGGAAAGACGGCTGTGCTGTTGCTTTCTTGGTTTAGTTTTATCACTGCTGGACAAGATGTTTTCTACAGACTCCTCAGTTCCTTCCCTGTTGAAATTCAGTTTGGAAATAAATAAACCCTCTAACTGATCTACGCCACTTTTTCCATTATCTTCCAACATAAAAGTGCTATCTCTCAACCGACCCTGTTTTGCAATTTGATTCAGGGGTTTTCTCTCTATACCATTCGGCATTCCTTCTATTCCCTCTTTGCAACTTCTACAGGCCGCCGTTTCGAGGCTATGTTGTGTAAGCTGTGTAGTTGTTATATTAGGAAGAGTAAGAGTTTCCGAAGCAGCAGGTCCTGAAACTGATTGCCTCCTTCCCAGCACTTTTCCTTTCTTGATCCGCGCTCTCTCCGTGGCAACATCTGTATGTATTCTTTCCAACTTTTCTCCAAAAGCAAACATCTTATTGTCTTTAAGATACTTGAACGCCGCGGTTTATTTCAAAGAAGTTGCTGCGGCCCTTCGCTCGTAGAAAAACGCACCGATTCCAATTAAGAAGCGGTTCCCTTTAAGAGCCAAGTCAAGGAATACTTTTAAGAATAGACCGCGTCAGAAGGTGAGAAGTGGAATAATAATTACTAATTGATTGCTCAAGTAATTGACTTCAAACAAGATTTTCACTTGCGAATTTTCTCAAGACTGTGACTTACAACACGCGCGCGCGGTTTTGACAGCTTGTAACCGCGTTAGGTTGTCTTGTACTAGTTTAAGAGGACACAACCTCCTGTAATTACAGTTTCGTAATCACGTTTCTTTCCAGTCTGTTGGGCAACAGCGTTCACATTCAATGTAATCTTTTCTTTACAAATAAACGAAGAACATTCCAGTCAAAACATGAATATTCCATTTACTTTCTACAAAAAGAATTCCCATTATTAGTTCCTTCTATTTAAACGATGCTGTCTGTAACAAAATATATTTTTGCACTCTCTTTTTTAGTAGTTTGGTTTCCCTTATTTTTAAGATAATGAAATATGTTCCAGCATAACTGCACGATGATAAATAGTTAATGGCATCCTAATTTGTAGGTGATATTGTTCTCTTCAACAACAATAATCTTCGATGTGAGTCGAATACAATTATAAGAAACGCACGTCACAACAGGCTAAACTATTAGACTGAGAAGGCAAGATCATAATAGAGGATTACATCCTTTCTGATTGAAAAAAATCTACTGCATTTCAATACTCGAGCTAAAAGAATTTAACATCAATAATCATGATGTGCCTTCTGACAAATTCACTAATCATGTTTATGTTTGCGCTTAATTATTATAAACTTTTTGAACAAACATATTTTATCCTTTATTATACAAGCGTCACAAGTATCCGCCAGGAGCATGGGTAGCAACCCTCAACCTGAGTTCATGTCATTGCTTAGAAACGGCCTGGCCTGCGAACAGCAGACGCATCTGCAGTCGTCGCTTCTCTCCTTTTCGGAGGGAGAGAAGAAACGGCCCAGCTAATGGACTGTTTTTGTCGTTTAAACAAACATATAATAACCCGCTCGGGGCCCGCTTTACTCTGTGTGAGTCAACTAATAAACACTGACTGAACACTATGAATAGAAGCAAGAATATGGAATGGCAACCCCCGACCAAGAGCTCTATAGAGGACTGGGCCAGATTGACAAGAGGATGATGATCTTGACTTATTTGACATCTTTATTACCGATCATTTGCACGGTAACTTATTTTCAGTTGAATTTCCGACGACTTATTAATAAATTTACCTACTTTACTTGTTAAAATTCTATTCATGTCAATGCTAGCAAATGAAATACTAATAACCTTGAAACTGAATTTATATACGTAAGAAAATAAACTTGAAACTTGCTTCATATCAATATAACTGCGAGTAATAAGCTTGTTTGGTAATAATGCATTCCACAACATGAATTTTGCCTTTCTACTCTTCTATGAAAGACATGATCGTTTCTTTGGGTCGCAACCAAATGGCTACAAATTAACGTTTTCATTCAACTGTACTCCCTGCTTTTCAAACAATTAGAATTTCATTTCACATTACGCGCTTCAATCAGCACAGGATACCAAATATTTGAATGATAAACCCGGATGGGTAACCTGTCGGCATAATGATAAGCGATCTACCGTCTGACTGCTAAGTGTATAGATCTAGACTGGAACCGACCGAAAAAAGGGTAAATGGAACACAACTATTTCAAAACGTAGTCCTAATTTTTGGTTGGAATTTCCAAAAAATGACCTTATCATTAACCCTCTAAATTTGCGTGATAAGTTGCGCAATCTAATGTGACCAAAATTAGCTGTTAAATCTTATGTTTATAGTAAATTGAACTTCTGATAAACCTGCTCAGTTGTTAAAACTACATCATTTATGTTTCCTTTTCTCATCGAATAGTATAGCACCCGGCTCAGTTTCTTTTGAGGCTGTGTTAGCCAGGTAAGATCCCGACTGACAAGCGACATGGCCTTGAAACAGCGCCGGACAGACATACCGCCACAGATGAAAAGGGTTGAAACTACGACAGCAACGAATACAAGAGTAGAATACAATAGTAAAAAAAATTCCGACAAGGACATGGCTTTCCCCTCAATACAGAAAACGACAACTTTTGAAATTCAGACTAGAGACGACATGCCTTAAATCCTACAGCCCTCCACCCACCCACCCCGCCTCAACAACCCAACAGAGCCTGCTTTGAAACTGACTCTGTAAAGCTTATTTACCTAGTTTAACTATAAAATCCGTTATCTAAACATATTTTCTACACATCTTCAACATCTTGTTCTTGGTCTTGTTTCCCTCCTGATACAATTTTCAAAGCCTCCTGCCAGGCGGCCAAACACTAAACAAAAAGTTTAAAAAATGTAAGCGTTAGTAAGAAGCAGCCTTCAAGCCGACCTGTAGCACCAATAACTAATAACAAACTTCTAGCCTGCAGAACAGCCGTTACAATAGCACCTTTTCATCCAGGAGGTAAAAAATGAGAGTTTTACTTTAAAAAAAGACACATACTTTAAGCTTTATTAAACCCTTACCTCCTTGTAATAGTTAGCGTGTCTCTCGGAGTACTCAGTTAACAGTTCTCTGAAGTCTGTTATTTTGTTCTTTTGCCATCGTTCAATGTCTGCCTTGAGATCAACATTAGCACACTCCAAACGATCACTGCCAGACTCAGCTAGTTTTGAAAGCTAAAACAAGAGTAAAAACCACATTTTAACACCACACCATTTTAACATTTTAAGCACAATGTGACCATACAACTCAACAATGTCTCTAACCTCTTTTTTGTTTTTGTTTCTGTTTTTCCCCTTAACAAAAATGTTGAACAGGAATTGGAACAAAGAAATAATGGCCCGCAATCCTGATCTATACTTCGAGTCAGTGTTTTACCGACACCCACTAGTATTATTATCATAAATAAGTCAACATTGTTTTACAGGATGTAAACTTCAAGAGCTTCCCAGGGTTGTCATTAAGAGCCGGGGGCCGGGGATTTTCCCCGGCTACTAAGAGAGTGGCCCCCAGCTACTTTTATTGGAAAATAGAAGAAAAACAGGACCAAAAGAGATCCCTAGCCGTTTGATTCCCCGCCTACTTGTTGTATTTAGCCAGCCACTTGAAATCTTAGCGACAACCCTGGCTTCCCCAGACACATACTTCAGTGAAAAACTTTTTACAGCTTTTATGAGCAAAAAAAGACGTACACAGCTAACTTTTATGCACTAACCAAATAAAATGTATTTTGTCAGTTGATAATGCAGTTATATATAACTAACACTTACCTCTTCAATATTGGAATCCACTCTTTCTCGTCTGTCTTGCCTGGACTGTTCAGTGTCTTTACCAAACCAACGTCCACCGCCAGTCCCTTTGTCCAACTACAAAATGAGGTAAAAGCTGATTAGTCAACTGGGATTTAAGAATGGGCTAAAACTGTGTAAGCTTACTTACATGATGATGATGATGATGATGATGATGACTATGTGGACGAAGATGATGATAATGATGACAATGAGCATTTCTAACATTATTTAATGGTTTATAAGAACCAACAACAAGACAGTGTTAAAAGTACTGTGTCCAAAGGTCGCAGCTTAGCAGCTTCAACTCTAATAATAATTGAAGAGCAGCTTTGAGAGGTTTGAAATCCAGATGTCCTATTTGTGTGGAATCATAATGTAATTTTGCTCAAGTCTACTTTTCTTTTGTGGCAAGAGCTAAAGCTGAAGAAAGAAAATGTGATATAAAACAAGAAACAAAGGCACATCAGCCATTTCATTGCATTAAGAGGTTTTATTATAAGATAGTTATTCCTGACCTCTTCTTTTTCAGCCTTTTTTCTTGACAGTTCTTCTAATGTTACTTCATATTCCATCTGAATTGTGTCTCGATGTTTAAGAGTGCTCTATTAACATAACAAAAGAGATTGTTGATTAGGGTAACTTTCTGGCAGTGCAGTACAAAAGCTTGACATCTGATGCCATATCTTTGCAAATTCATACCTTTATAGCATCTGTGTAGAGAACATATTCATGCAATGGTTCCATAAATCGTGGATCTTGAGCCTTGAGCTAAAGGAAAATGAATTGTTATTAAAAAGCGAAAAAACTAACAGAGGTCAAATGTAAAGGTTAAAGGTATGGGCAGGATTCCCTTCTATTATTCCCAGTCTTAAATACTGCAGAGGTGCAAGAGGATAGGAAGTAATCAGCCCCAAAGGCTGGCACCCCTCCCTTACCCTTGTAAATTTCGACTTATCTTTGATGAGTGACTTGGCGACAGAAGCAATGGTTCAACAGCACTTACAACTAAAATTAATTTATGCAATTATTATTCTTACCAGCGTTTTGAGAGATGAGCTGTTCTTGTCGAAAGCATTTGCCATGGCATGCAATGGATCAACCAGTTTTGATTCAGCATCAGCCCATAAGTTGAAGATTGGAATGTACTCCGTATACACTTCAAGGAGATCTGTGTCAAGAAAATAAGACAGGACTAATAATTATTAAAGGCGTGAAGACCATGCTTAATTTAACTTCAATATTACCTTTACCAGACTGGAGATAGTATGTCGCAAAGGGATTTCCTCTACTTTCAGAGATGTAAATAAATGTTATGAGTGGTAACTTACTATATGGAAAACATTTACTTTCTCAAAATTCCAAATACAAAAACAAAGACTTGACTCCAAGTTTAAAAAACAGATCAAAAGTCTTAACCTTCCACTAGAGACTCAAAGTATGGTCTGTAGTGATTTTCTTCCTCACAAACTACATAGAAAGTTAAAGGTTTGAAATTAAGCAACAAATTGATTCTGTGGTGCAAAACAACTCTAAAATGATGTCAAAAAATGCATTTCAGTGTAAAAGCAAATAACCACACTTTTTTTACCAAATCTATCCTTTGCTATCTTATCAGAAATAGTTTCTAAAGCCAGCATCTTTTCCCTGAAGGTCTTGATGTACTCAGCCATTTCTTGAAACTCTGGTTCTCTGTTTTTGAGCATCCATGAAGATGCCATGTTCCTCATTGAATCACTCATTCTGCTCATCAGGCCAGGGCTCTGCTTCTTAACTGATGTAAGTTCCTGAAGTTTGAAAAAAAAGTAAAAAAATAAAGTAAGATAATGGTACCGTACATGGTAACAGCAGTGGTACAGCTGCTTTCTGAGCAACCGAGAGTCCTTCTCTGCAAGGTACCCGGCCTCAGCATTGTTTACAAGCTTGGCTGTTTATACACCAACTTGATGACATAGAATGTGCTGGTTCCTCGCAGAAGCGAGTTCATAATTTTGTTGGAATTTGCCACGCTTGGGACTACCATTAGGATCATCAGTTGTGATCATCTCTTTGCTATAAGTCTATTGAGTTTGGTTGGTGTCTGCCTTGACGTCATCCACAGTGGTGAGGTCCTTTGATTCACATATTTATTTACAGTTTACATGCACAAGGTATTTAACACAAAAGAGGACAAAAATTGAGACTTTAAGCATCAGCTTTGTTAAAAGTCTGTCTAGTCCTAGCTCACTGTATCTCAACATGTCATTGCACTTACGCCAAATTTATTACTACAAAATGTCAACAGAAACAAGATGCACTTACCCATGTTTTTGCAGTGAGAAACACATGAAAATTATCTGTCTGTCTAGTCCTAGCTCACTGTATCTCAACATGTCATTGCACTTACGCCAAATTTATTACTACAAAATGTCAACAGAAACAAGATGCACTTACCCATGTTTTTGCAGTGAGAAACACATGAAAATTATCATTAAAAGACATCACAGGATGATCTGCAATCCTGCTGACAAACTTGTTGAGAGCAATTTGTCTTGACCTCAAAAACTCTGTAGTAAATCTATCAAAGTGCTTTGAGAATGATTTCTTCTCTGGAAGTGGCTGTAAAAAAACACAAACCAAAAAAATCTTTAAGTATAATGCCATCACCAGCTTATTTCTTTAGCATCAGATGACTACCATGGTCAAAATTTTTAAACATCAACAACGTACGTGCCAAGCCAATAAATCTCAGGACTAACAAGTACCTCTTTAGCTTGTATCTTTTGCTTCCCTGATGTAGGTCATGTGATCATGCTTAAGAAAACCTTTTTTTTCAGACCTTCTCCTAGATGCAACTGATGTGACAATGTAAAACTCATTATTTTTATCACAAATCTAGAGCCAAAGTTTTCAGGTGTCAGGAGACTGTGCTCTGTTATGATTAATAACAATATATTATTAATCATAACAGAGCACAGTCTCCCGACACCTGAAAACTTTGGCTCTAGATTTGTGATAAAAATAATGAGTTTTACATCTTTGCATCAGTTGCATCTTATTACATTTTATGGTTTTGAAATTGCTCAATAGTGTTGCCCAATAATATTAGTAACAAAAGTCAAGTTAGTTGGAATTTTACGTCAAAGACAAATACCATCTGCTCATGTTGTCCAAATGTCCATGTCAGAGTCACTGAGAACATTTTCTGGACAGCTTCCCCCCAATAACAACAATAGATTACTAGCCTGCATATAGCTTTACCATTCTCGTCTATCAGGAACCTTTTTTTTTACATTCAAACAATGCAGGAGGCTGACTATGAAAAGCTGCTTACAGGAACAATGTGAGTGGGATAGCTCTCTTCAAGTCTTTGCCTCAGCCAAAGGAAATCTTGATATCTTCTTCTTACACTATATTCTGGGTGATCAAATTGTCCTCTTGTGGTCTGTAATACAAGAAACATGAACATCTTCATGTTAACTTTAGTTCTCATTAACCACACATTCACATCAACAACCTGGGTCATTGACTAAAAGAGTCAGTTTACTTCAAAATCTACAGACTATAAACATATATTTCTTTGCACAGCTGTAGACCACAAATCAATTTCTTGAAAATTTTAATGATTCTAATTCTTGCAAAACCTTTATACCTTGGTAATGACGTTGTAACTGACATATCCTCCAACATGCTTCTCAGGATCATCAACAGTCACATGCAAATCTTTCACTTGAGTCATTTCATCATATCCTCCCATCTTAAAAGACTCCAGGAATGCTGTACTTTGATCTAAGGTTGAGGAGTCCAAATCAACAGAGTGTACTGTCTTGTCTGCTATTGCTGGACTCTGCTCAAGGAATTGAAAAAATAAATCACAATATTATTTTGGTGATCATATTATATTTTTAAAAGGTGAGCCTAAGAATCAAAGTTTGTTAATGTTTCAGTAGCCAGAACATGTATAATGTACATGCATAACACATTGTAATATTGTTCCATCTGACAACATTTATCAGCAAACACATAATTTAGTATGTTTGATTACTATTTCTTCTTGTTCTGAAGAGTCCATGACTTTTCATGGTAGATTAAAGGAGCATAACACACCAGAGCTCTCTCAGGGTTGCTACTGTTGTGCAAACCGTGCACCAACTAGACATAATGAGCCATTAATACAATCATGTCTTGTCATCTCAAAAGAGTAATTGGTACAAACAAGTGTCAAGGTCAATTTCTCAACCCATATTGCAACATTGTCTTGTAACATACAGTCTGTATGGCTAAAGGTAATAAATACCTTTATTTATGTCTTGTTGTTTGGAGAGTGTGTTTCTGTAATACTATTGTACAACTGTACACCATCAACCAATGGCTTAGCATTAGCTTGAACATGTGTCTAACTACATGTATATAAAAAGGTTATTTTAACAGAATCCTTTATTTGTTTAGCTGTCTTGCTTATTGTAAAGAAGATCTGTAAATCATTTTTGTATTTTGCCTCCCTCCCTCCATTCTGATTACTGGCATCATCTCTTACATCTTGCAATCGGCTAAGTCTTACTTGCAGTAGCGTCCCTAAGCTTTTTGATTGCCCTTTTTTAATTGCCCTAGTTTGTTTCCTGTTATTTGCCAATCTTTATCCATTTATATTTAAGCACTTGCCAGTGGTATCAGCCACAATATTGCTATAAAAATGTTGGCTCCAACTAATTATGACGACGCTGTGCCGTAGGTGATAAGCTTATAGTGTTCTGGTGAATTAAGCTTTTAGGTCACATGAGAATTTTGGTCCCTTGGTCCAGCTATCAGTGGCCGGATCCAGCATTATTTTTATTGGACTGGACAATGCTAATGTGACATAAATTCCGAGAAATTAATAAATCTTGCTTTGCAAAGAATTATTAAATATGCAGAATGTCCACCTCTTCTACAACCGCTGCCACTTTTTTCACACTCGTTTCATACCTCTCCATCAATGGCCAAGTCTCCGTGTAGAGCACAGTTACTTCTGTTTCTTAGGCAGCAGGTTATAATGAGGTTAAATATATAGTATATCATTTACATCCACCTTATTCTTTGGGGAGCCCGGGGGGTGACACAGTGGTGAGAGCACTCACCTCCCAACAATGTGGCCAGGGTTCAAATCCTGGCATCAACGCCATATGTGGGTTGAGTTAGTTGTTGGTTCTCTCCTTTGCAATGAGAGGTTTTTGTTCAAGTACTCCGGTTTTCCCCTTGCCTTAAAAACCTTGACACTTCCAAGTTCAAATTCAATCTGGAATGCACGGACGCATTTCAACGAGTTCTTAAGAATTTCTATGTGCTCCGTGGATAAATAAATTAAAATTACGATTATTACTTTTGCTCCAAAGATGAAGCTTAAACCTGTTTAAAAAGACCTTGTGTAACCTGTCTGGCCCACACCGAAAAAATTGTGTGAACAGCGGTCAGTTACAGCTAATCCAGTAAGAGAAAACATTATACTCTAACATGAGTGTTTCCTCAAACCTTGTCAAAGATTTGCTTAGGTACTTTTAACTTAAGCTTATTTAACGATCAGTAATGGATTATAAAATTTCAGATTCATGTTTGTATGTGGAGCAACTAGCTCACGAGATGAAATCTACCATTGAATTAAAATAAAACAAAAAATCACTGTTTTCTTTTGGATATGAACTTACATCTGGCAACACAACTTCCCCTTCCTCGCCGTCATCTTCTTTCTCAAATGGATTGAAAGTGTCCATGTCGTCCGCCATATTGTAATCGTGATTAGCATAGTCGGAATGTCCTCGCCGTTATTCGTAGAAGAACGAATGATACCGAAGGCTGCTCGACAAGACGTGCCAGCTGTTGTTGAAGCTACTGTCGTTTTCAAAGGTTTTTAAGCGATGGCGGAGGTACAACTCTTGGTTCTAGGCTCAGAAGGAGTTGGGAAAACCGTTATGTTGAAAAGGCTGCAAACAATAACCGCTCAGGAGAATTTAGCCCAAGCACAACAGAAAGAAGATTTGGGAGAAGCACCTTCAACCATACCTACAATTGGTGTAAATCTAGTTACTTTGACACACAACAGAAAGAAGTACACTTTCAGAGAACTTGGAGGAGCTATGGGACCAGTTTGGAATAACTATTTTAAAGATGCGAACTGTGTAGTTTACCTTATCGACACAGCAAAAAGGACCCAAATTGCCTCTTCCTGCATTCAGCTTTTGGAAATGCTGTCATCAAAGGAAACACAAGATATGCCAATTCTGTTGATTTTTAACAAGCTTGATTCACCAGACTGTATGAATATGAGTGAAATAACTGCCTTAATAAGACTACCAGATATAATAGCGAGTGCTAGACAGGACATAACTGTTTTAGAGTGTAGTTTCCGAGAAGGAACAGGATTGCACGAGATTTTAAAGTGGTTGCAAGAAAAATGCTCTGCGCTTTATGGTGTGAAATAGATGAACTGATCCAGTGCCAAAAAGAGGCAGTGCAATCATTTCACAGAGAAACAAAAAGTGTAGTAGTATTTGTCTCTAGGCATCAGGAGGGATCAAGGGGTATTATATATAGCCTGCGCAGGCCTGTGCCAAGGGGGGGTGCAACATGTGTGTTTGCACTCCTCCACAGCCCCCAGAGGTCCACTTTTTTGTCCACTTTTTTGTCTTTGACTCTTGTTCCTCACAACCGCACGGAAACGCTTTTTACGCAGGCTACTTACAGGAGCCACTTATCTGTGGCACAAGAGAGGCTCTCTTCACTGGCTAATAAAAACATCCACTGTCTAACATATATTTATCTGAAAGAAGTCTTTGTCTGATCTGTTTCTAAGAAAATAATACCCAAGGAGGCTTGAAACTGGTACACTATTGAAAGATCATGATGCAAACATCATGCATTAAACCTAGCAAATAACACGGATTTACATCTTTCTTTTCACTTTTTTTCTTTTTAAATAGTTACATCCGGTATTGTCATTCTAAAAAATTGTAAAATAAAGTACTCTATACTTTTGAAGGTTAAAAGTCTGAGAAATACCCAGGTTTTCAAAATGCTAGAAATGCAGTTTCAGACAACCTTATTTCCCCCCATCCCAGAGACTTGCACCTCTGGCATCATTTGGTCCGTCTCCTCGTTGGATCGCACCTCTCCATAAAAAAACCTAGCTACGGGCCTGCTGTGTCACAGACGAAACTAAACTCTGGTTAAGTCCACATGCGAAACAGCTCCAAAATCCTGTTCTGGGCCCCCAGCTGTGTACCAGGATTCGATTATGCACCACGATTGGCCTGTTGAAGAAGCCATTGTCAATTTGCCAATCAAGATGAAAGGAAATTTGAAATGCACTTCTGGTAATTTGATGAGCCTGTTGAGGGCCCAGAGCAATGATATCAGCACTGCTTCATAGATGTTATGAACCAATGTTAAATTGCATCAGTGACGCAGGCTAGGGGTATTAGGGGGACAATCATTTGCAGAAGAGGCAAGAACATAAGACAGCCAACATACTGATGTTTTCCATATTGCTTTTTTGTGTTTATAACCTGCAAATACTCTCAACAGTCTCTCATTGCCAGCTCCTCACTACTTAAGCATTTTTCGTGCAATACATCTACATTATGGTCCAAAAAATTCCATACTAATGACCAAAATCAATATTTACATGATAAATCTGGTAGCCATGGGGTTCTGGATGCAAATTTGATCAAGTTTCCATTTCTCCTTCTCAGTAACCATAACATTTTGAGTTTTTCCAATTTGGCACCAATGAAGCTCAAATTCTTCTTGTCAAGCAAATCTCTTCATAGGAAATAGGTGTTTCAAGGCAGATTCAGTGTATCAATAAATTATACCTGATTTTTGAGAGTTTTTGTCTTATGTCTGTTATTTGTAAACATAAGTAAACAACTCAGAGCTCCTGAGCAAAGTACAGACAGATTAATAATTATAAGATTAATGGACAGGATAAAGGAATAAGAATTAAAAGTGCCAACTTTCCTCACTTGCAGCCAATGGCTGAATTGCAAAGAAACTAGAGAGGTTAGATCACATGTCAGCATGTAAAGGTGCACTATGCAGAGGCTTCAGTCCATATCCCAGTGAAATAAAAACTATTATTAAATTTCAGAGACACAGTTGCTTAGAAATTACCGGTAACCTGAATGTCCGTATCATTAACTTGTATTTGTATTATTTTATTGGCTAGTTTGTTGGTTGCACAATATGCTGGTGATGAATGGAATGGATCCTATCTCTTAGTAAAACCCCTTCAGGTAGTGACTTCTCATGTAAAACTTCATAAAACTGCTCACAACCTACTCCCGCCCCACCATGAGACTAGATCAAACCATTGCTGTCACAACAGGATGTCATCTTTATTAGCTAGCCTGCATAGCAGGCATCGAAAGGGGTAGGGGATAAGGAGGAAGGGAAAAAAAAGGGGGAAATTTTGCGCTTTTCTCCCTCCCCCCTACCGTCTCCTCTTTTTGTGCCTGCCACACACGCTATTAATAGCAAGGAAAAAGTGCAACCTGGCAGCACTAATGCCAGTCAATACACAATATTTTAATGTTATTAAAATTTTATTAATATATTATCATGCCTTTTATGCAAAATCCTGTAAATACTGGAAACATGTCACTGATAAAAGATAACTGTGTTTCAGGAAAAGGGACACTCGTTTTAGGTATCTGGCATCCTTATCACACATTTTTACATACATTTTCATTATCCTCTGTGGGTTCCTGCTGAACATTTTCACTTAAAGCTGTATGCAATATTAACATAACTTCCCAGATTTGATAAAGCTGGTTTTTATGCATAAAAGTAATGACTTTTTTTTTCTGAAATATTATTCTCAGTCATAAAATTACCTAGGTATCTCCCCTTCAAGAAAGCAAAATGCAAAATTTGCCACGATTCATCACTATAAACTTTTAAAAACAGTTAAATAAAATGCAATTAACTCAATGAAAATCTGAGTTTAAAAATAAACTATTCCTAAACTTTGATATAAAAATACAGTCAATCCTCCATTTGTAATTACCTCTTGTGTGTGACCAACAGCATCCAAAATACCCTGAAAATCAGTTTTTACTGTCCAAAAACTGCAGTTGGAACCTCTTGTAAAGACATCACCAGATATTGGCACTTT